GTTGCGGTTTAGCCCCTGCAAAGAAGCAACACGAAGATTCCGCAACATGTCTCTTCGGGCTCTTCTTAAAGGCGAAGATACTTCTTATCTCCTCGCACGACGGTAACCCTTTACCTTGCTCGTGCAGCAACACCATCAGGCTGATAATTTTCTTCCAACTGTTGGGAGTAATCTGGCACAATGGCAACCCCCAACTCCGAAGGTACTCCGTGATCAAATTCGGTAAGGGGAATCTCAATCCCGACCTCAAGCTTTCAACAAATATACCCACACAACCCGGGGGAGGGCTTGTTATTCTCTCCCCGGGGTAAGGGGCGAAAACCTTCACCGATGGTGGAATCCTCACCTGCTCCCGCAACAACACCACGTCGGCATCGGTCAAGATACTGGGCTCACCCTCAAAATCGACCTTAGGATCAGGCCACTTTCTCACCGGCCTCCTCCAATGAGGCACCTCGACAACGGCTGCATCCTCCTCCACCATACAATCACCGTCTTCGTCATTAGGCTTAATATCTAAATGCCTCACTAACATCGGATCCCACCGATGGTATTCGAAAGCCAATTCGACCAGTTCCGAGTCATGATATACCTCTAGTGGAACTAATTCGGTACTCGAAGAACTCGTCACCGCTTTACTCTTTCCTTTCGACGCCATTACACAGAAGGAATAACACAGAACGAACGAATAAAGAAATAAAAATAGAGGATAAAAGCTTACCAAAGAACTCGACGACCATCACTCCGTATGATCACCGATATTGGGGGCCTCTCTGTTATCATACAACTCGGCAAGCGTTGTTGAGGAGTCTTAAAACTTCATATTAAGTGAAATTAACCATCGAACCGACGTGATCCAAAGCTGGCTAATTCGCACAATGAACCAATCTAAATTACCGAAGACCGAGGTCATAATGAATATAAACTCGTTATTTCAATGTTATAACGAAACGATATTCGTTATGATTGTTTTTCGACCAAATCGCGCTTTATTTATGGTTTTTTCGATCGATTTACTTGATAACGC